GAGGTCCGCGCGCCGCGTCGGCGAACCGCGGGACCCACGACGCCCCTCTCCCAGGCCGGAGCCGCGCAGGGCTCCCGGCGCGGCCTCGGCCCGAGTAGGAGCCGCCCTGAGGATAGCGTCCTTCTTCAGCCACGGGCAGCCGGGTGCCCCTTACCTGAGAGACAGCGCCAAAGCTGGGAGACTGTTCCGCGCCAGCCTCACGCACCGAGCCGCCATGACTGTCGCCGTCGCCGCCGCCGGCACTGCGCACGCACCGGGCATGCGCGGAGGCCACTGGCCCGCCCCCTCGGGGCGCGTGGCTACTCGCGCAGACTCTGTGCTTCCTTCCCCGCCCAACCACTTCCTTTCAGCCAATCCGTAACCGCTTCTCCTCTGATGGACAGACAGTAGCAACCAATAATTGTGGGCCGCTTCAGAGCACTCTCTCGCCACCCCACCCCCGCGCTTCCCCTCCCGGTGGGCGAGGTCTGAGGCTTCCGGAGCCTCAGAAAGTGAGGAGGTGAAAGGTGAAGGGAACCGTGGGAGGAGACGCTCGCGGGCGGGGCGCGGTCCAGGGTTGAACCAATGGGGAAGGAGCGTGGGGGGCGGGGCCGCCGGAAGTGCGGCGCTCGGCCCGCGAGACTCGCGTCGGACCGACCCTTCGGCGCTTCCGCCGGCCTTCGCTCTGGGAGCGGTTTCGGGGCGCCAGGCGTGCCTTCTGCGGCGGTGCGGGCTCCCCGGACGCCGGGCGCTGTCAGACGCCGTTTGGGGGGCCGGGTCCGCGGCGGGGACGGAGGGGGACTCCGGCGCCGCCCGGGAGCCCTGTTAAAGCGGGTGCCGGAACCCAGGGGCAGATGTGCCCGCGTGGACGCTGGAGGGTGGATGGAGAGACGGGCGGACGCTGGTTGTCTCCGCGCTGTGCTCTCAGCTGCACGTCGCAATAAAACAAAAATCGTGACGATGAGAACAGCACCTAGGAATGCTCTGGGGACACAGCTAGAGCTCAGACATCCAGATGTTTTCGTTGATCTGGCAGAGGCCTTGCTGCTTGGTCACATGCCCTGAAGCCGAGGCGCTGGGAGGGGAGGTGGCGCTTTTCTTAACGCCCCTGGCGGCTGTCCCTCCAGCGAGGGCCGGCTCCTCTCCGGCACTCCTGGCCCGCAGTCCCGTCCGCCAAGAGGGAGGGCTGGAGCCCGTGGTCTCCCCCAAGGGGGAGGGCTGCCTGCAGGTCACATTTGCGAGGACCAAGCCTCTGTTCTCTGCGCGCATTGAAAGTGTTAATAATGTTGGACGAACATCTACACTGTGCCAGAGTCTTGTGACACCTGCCGGGGAGGCAAACAGCCAAATCCAGAATGTAGGCTGTTCTGTGGAAGAATGACCCAGTTTATTAATTAATTAAGGGGCTGGGGGAAAAGAAAGGAAGTAGGACTGTTCGACAATTAAAGCTTAAAAGACATAATTAAATGGTGTGTGGACCTTGTTTGGATCATGATAGGACAAACCAGCTGGACACGGTGAGAGGAAATTTGAATATAAACAGTATTATTAAGGTTTATTGACACTTGTTACGGAGAGAATATGGCCTGGTGGTTAGGTCAAAATGCCCTGATTGTTTAGAGATGCAAACGGAAGTATTTACATTATATTGCCACAGTGTTTGGAATTTGCTTTATAAATACTCATGTAAAAAAAATGAAGATAGGAGAAGCTCAGTGGCAAAATGTTGATAATGGTTAAGGCTGGATGGTGAATACCATCTGAGTTATAACTCCTCTTTTGTATATTTGAAATTTCCTGTACTAAAATGTAACACGATAATGTAATGTTTCTCACTGGCTGTGACGTCGGGCAAGCCACAGTCCTTGATCTGCTCACCTGTAAAACTGGGATCATATTTTTTTAAGATTTTTAGTTTTTTTAATTTTTATTTTATTTTATTTCCTCCGCACAGAGGAAACTAGGTTTCCCAGGCTGAGAGACTTGCCAGGACGAGGGACCTGACGTCTGGCAGCAAATCTCACCGCCACTCGTCCCTAGCACACTGGCTCCAAGCAGGAAGGATGTTCTTGGTAAGAGAATGCCACCAGAAGGAGCCACAGATATTTCTGTTGAAATAATTTTCTGCAAATAAAAGAGAGCACACAAGCGGGGGAAGTGGCAGAGGGAGAGGGAGAAGCAGGCTCTACGCTGAGCAGGGAGCCCAACACCATGCGGGACTGAATCCCAGGACCCTGGTATCATGACCTGAGCCAAAGGGAGATGCTTAACCGACTGAGCCACCCAGGAGCCCAAAAACTGGGGTCATATTTATTGTGAAGTTTAAAAAATACTCATTTCCTAACTTCTTTGGGCTCAGAGGGAATCAGATGGGCATCCCAAATAGCTTACAGTGCAGCATGAGGACAATCAATGGAGAGCTATAGCCACTGGGTTCCGAGACAGAGACAAGCACAGGTTGTCACAATGCGATGCCACGCTGGGGACACTGAACTACCACCAGTTGGTCCAGGCTTGCCAGGAAGCCATACCCTGGATCTGTGCCCTACCCCTTGCAATCTCCCTGAACAGGGATCTGCCTGTGCTGCCACCTTGTGGTCACATTGGGAACTGCTCCAAAAGGGAGCTGGGGCGTCACATACCAAGGTGACATTTTGCCACTGCTCTTGGGAGCCTGCTCAGGTAGTTAGTTCCCTGAGATCTTCATCAACTCAGTGCAAGTCCTCTCCTCATGGAGAGGAAGCTGCTTATATGGGAGGACTCCTGGGTCAGCCCACAGAACACACTTTTAGCAAAGGGCTTGGGTGGCCCTGGGGGCAGGGATGTGGGAAAAGCAAGCTCAACAGCGCATGGTGCCCCCAAGAAGGAGGGGGTGACGTTTAAGAAGGTGTCCTTAGGTGAAGGTTGTGCAGATGGCTCAACAGCATGTGGACCATGGGTGTGATCCTCATATAACAGCCAAGTGCTGGTGGGTGCTAGGCTCTGGGCAGATGTCCTTTTGGATCAGCACACAATACGGTGATGAAGGGACAGAGCCCAGCCAGGTTAGGGGGCTTGTTCAAGGTCACGAAGGCAGAAGAGGGCAGAGCTTTTGCATATTTTTCTCAACTAATCTCAACTTGCACAGTCAGAGGTGAAGCCAGAGGCTGCCTCCGTCTATCCAGAGTGTTGGCCACTGCCAGAAACTGCATTATTATTATTATGGTCCCTCAGCATGGACAGGAATCTTCCTCCTTTAATCCAACTCGAAATAAGCCAATTAAAAAAATGGGAGGGGCACCTGGGTGGCTCAGTCGGTTAAATGTCCGACTCTTGATTTCAGCTCAGGTCATGATCTCAGGGTTGTGGGATCGAGCCCTGCATCGGGCTCCTCACTGAGCGTGCTAAGAATCTTAGTCTGCTAAGATTCTTTCCCTCTGCCCTTCCCCTACTTTCTCTCTTCCTCTTCCTCTCTAAAAAGAAAAAGGCATAATAGGTGTGGTAGACACAATTCTGAAGATGGGCCCCAAGATACCCATCCTCTGGTTATCCAGTCCAACACAAGTCCCAACGCTGCTCTGAAGGCACTTTGCAGATGTAACGAAAAGCCCAAGCCAGTTGGCCTTCATGGAGATTATCCGGTAGGCTTGACCTTGGTGGGTGGAGAGGTTCCTCCAGCAGGCGACCCCAGAGAGCCTCAAAGCGTGAGAACAGTGCTGCTTTGGAGATGGAGGGGTCATGTGGGAGAGAAGGCAGTGTGCGGCCTCTGGGAGCAGAGGGAGGCTCTCAGCTGATGGTCAGCAAGGAAATGAAGATCTCCGACCCACTGTTGCCAGGAGCTGGACGCCACCAGCAACTTGAAGGAGCCCCCTGGGAGCCCAGCCTGCCGGCACCTGCTGTTAGGAGGCCTGGAGGGCACTGAGCCACCGAATAATCCTGTGAGGTGGGCATTACCTCTCTTGGCTTCATTGGATCGTGTTTTGGCTCGCAGCACATGGAATGGATTAATCATAAGCCTGGCTCCCTTTTTCATCACCACTGCTCATTCTTGGCCCACTTCTGATTGTTCCTTTGTTTTGGTGGCCGACCCCTCCGCCCCGAGGAAACAAGGATTCCCAGGCTGAGACACTTGCCCGGACAAGGGACCTGACGTCTGGCAGCAGATCTCACCACCACTTGTCCCTAGCACACTGGCTCCAAATGGAAAGGATGTTCTTGGTAGGAAAATGCCACTAGGGCGCCTGGGTGGCTCAGTTGGTTAAGCGACTGCCTTCGGCTCAGGTCATGATCCTGGAGTCCCGGGATCGAGTCCCGCATCGGGCTCCCTGCTCGGCGGGGAGCCTGCTTCTCCCTCTGACCCTCCCCCCTCTCATGTGCTCTCTGTCTCTCTCATTCTCTCTGTCTCAAATAAATAAATAAAAAAAATCTTTAAAAAAAAAAAAAGAAAATGCCACTAGAAGGGGCCACAGACGTTCCCGTTGGAATAACTTTCTGCAAAAAGAGCCCCATCATTTGCACGGGGAGAAGCGAATGCAACAGAAACTCCCGGCATGTCCCCGAGAACTTTGGAAAGATAGCGGTTAGAACCGGCTGCCCCAGGTGCGGTCAGGGGCCTGCCATGGGCACAGTCTTCTCTTCCCGCAGAGCTGGGGAGAGGGTGGCCTTGGCTTGCCCGAAGGACAGGGCAGGAGGGAGGAGGCAGCAAGCCCCTCAGATCCCGGGGAGAGCGTCTTACAAGGCCTGTGGACATGAGAGAGAATTTGTATCTAAGGCTGATTAAATTGTTCACCACAAGCCCCCTGCGTTTCGAACCCTCCTGTGTGTTGGTCGAATTCATCATCAGCCAGAAAAAAGTCAGAACCATGAAAAGCGCTGTGGGTGAGGATTGGCAGGAGAGATGGTTTCTCATTAGAAAAACAATGGAGATTATTATAGCGGCGTTGGAGGGCGGGAACGGTAGGGTAGCCCGGGCACATCAGCCTTCCCCCACCTTCTGCGGCTGTCGTGCGCGTCCCCGTGAGGAAGCTGAGTGCCTGGGCTTTGTCTCCCCTTGGCTCTGCGCTTGGATTGGTCATGAGCCCAGGACCGGAGCCAGAAGCATCTTGAGGTGACGGCAGTGACCCTGCGGGACCACAGGGGTCAATTGGGTCTCTCCCCTGAATAATGAGGCTAAGGACACTCGCGCTATCGTGCGGAGCATGTGGCTTTGCCGCACATCCCCCAGACGATGACCTGTCACAGGGACAGTGACTGCCACCAGTAACAGTGTTCGGGAAAGCGGTGTCGCGTTGGTGATGGATGAGGTGTGTGGTGCCTTCTCAGGAGCGGTGCTCAAGGGCGCAGGGGCTCGGGGGAGCCGTGTCTGAAGCTGGGGCGTGCAAGAGCCTCCTCTGTCCCTTCCCCTGCTGCTGGCAGCGGGGGCGGCTGTCAGGGAACACTTGTGCTGATGCAGGGCCCACACGGGACAGCCACGGACGTGGTGGGTGCACCTGCCCTGCTCTCATGCCTGAGCCCTCCTGGGGTCAGGGAACCAAACAGCTGTCCCTGAAGCCAGAGACACTAACCTCCCCCCCCCCCCCCCCGCAAACGTCTAGGGGTGAGCAGTCCACGGCTCCCAGGGTGGCTCCGGGGCCCAAGGTTATCAGGGGTCCAGACTCCTTCCCACTTGCTGCTCTCTGCCCTCCCCCAGGTGTGGCTCTCGCCCTCACGATGTGGACGGAGCTCCGGCCGTCACAGCAGCATCCCCAACAGCAGACCCGCAGAGTTGGGGGCAGGGAAAGGCCACACTGTAGCGATCTCTCAGGGAAGTTCTGTGCAGGGGGGCTGTGAGCTGGGGAGCGGGGTGCTGTGGGCCCAGCCTGCCAGCTTGCCCCTTCACATTCTGTCCCGCCCTGGCCTCCCCCTGCATTCACCGATTGGACTGCTTTTTCCCTGAGGTGTGAAAACTTAGAAAGCACCTTCTCCAAAGGGAGTTTCCAAAACTGAAGATGTTCCTTCCAGAAACAAAGCCAGTGACCTGAGGCCACAGGAAAGCAAACTGGAGCTGGGCCAGGGCCTGCGACCCCAGGAGGAGCCCTGCTGCGCCCCCTGCCGGGGGAACCCAGCCTCCTGCCGGCCCGCGCATCTGCCCACAGCCTGAGCCGCAAACAGCAGGGGAGCAGCCCCACTTGGTGCTACAGGTGGCCGGCGCTGAGCCCGGTTTCTGGAACAAGCAGCATCGGGGTAGGAAGCAAACACACTTCAGTCCAGAACCTGCTTCTTAGAAAAATCGGGTTGCAGAACATGCACAACATTTTAAAGAGGGTTTTCAGGATGACTCCCCGCTGCTGGGGCTGGTGATGGCTGGGGGAAGGGAACTTTTTGCCTGTCTTCTATCAGGCTGGCGGATGCTGAGGACCCACTGTGTGCCAGAGGCTCTTCCAGAGTGTCACAGAGCTCCCTTTACGCATTGAATCTTGCAGCCACTGTGGGGCGGGGGGCGGGGAGGTTGTTGTTTTGTGATTGTTTTGCTTTTTCTGTTTGTCTGCGCTCACTGGCCTAAGTTTGATGTTCTTCCTGGGACAGGCTGGGCCCCCACCACCCCCAGCCTGCGGCTCTGCCCATCACCTGGCCTCTTACGGAATCCCATCCTTCGGCAGAAGTGACAGGCCCAGAGACAGGGGATGCGACCCAGGCAGGGCCAATCAGATCCTTCCCTGGACATGCTGTGTGGAAGCTGGGGGAGCAGGTCTCTCCCGCCAGGGTCCCCCCGCGGGGAGACGGGCTTCTGGAGCCCTGCGCCCCTGCCCACCGCGCCCCACGGGGTGGACCAGCAGAGGCACGCGGGGAGGGGAGGCTGGAGACACAGATCCCCGTCCCAGAGCCTGAATCCTGCCCCGGAAGCCCTTTCTTCACTCCCGAGGCCCGTCAGCACCCGTCCCTGCGTGGGGAGCCAAGTTCCGATTGACTCATTTGCCTGCGGGGCTTTGCGTCGGTCTTCCGTCACTTACCCCTAAGGCTGTCAGCACAGTGTCCCTGCACCGTCACTGTGACCCCCGTGGACAGAGGAGGGTGCTGCGGGGAGTCCAGGTCCCACCCTCGTGCGCTGTGGACCGCACGCGCTTTCCAGCACCCGCTCTTGCCTCTCTCAGCAAGTCCATCGCGGCCCCCCGCACTGTGGCTGTTTCTCCGTAATCTCCATGAGGAATGCGGGGCCCAAGCTTAAGTCAGAGCTGTGTGTGCGCTCGTGTGCGCTCCAGCTCCGGAACCTCAGTCCCGTGTTACTTCATTCTCAGATCCAAGGGACATCTGACCCGCGCTGTGATGTTTGCTGCTGCTGTCACTGCAGGGCCCTTTCCCCAGCACGCTCCTGCTGGGCTTTGCTTCCAGCTGGGTCCGCCGGCTCAGGCGGTGCGAGCGGGTCCTACCGTCCGTCTAACCTTGAGACTGTGGGCTGCTGTGTGGAAACCCCCAGGCCGCCCCCAACCGCGACAGCGTCGCTTGCGAGCATCAGGGGCTCCGTTCCCTCACCTCCCCGGCGGCTCGGGGGAGAGTGAGTGAGGCCGTGCAGGTAAGCCCAGGATGCAGACACCAGGCCTCGGCCATCCCCCCCCCCCCCACAGAGAGCTGCTGAGTTTCCCCAAGTTTACCTCTAGAAATCCATGGCCGAATGTTTTGGGTTCTACCAACTTATTAGACAATCAGGTAAGATCCAAGTGCATAGTCCTACAGACTTCTGAAAATCAAACGTATCTGGGATGAGAAATGGCACCCCTGGGTATTCCCCCAAGGGAATCGAGAGCGGGAACTGAGACATTTGTACCCTCATGTCCATGACAGCACTGTTCCCAGGAGCAGAGAGGTCGGAAGCGGCCCCCAGGCCCTCGGAGGGAGGGTGGACAGCCAGTCTGTGGTACTTTGTTCCATCCCTAGGAAACTCAGACGGGTGGCTTAAAACGACAGAAATGATTTCTTGCTGCTACGTCTGTGTTCAAATTGCCCTCTTCCTTGAAGGGCACCTGTCATATCGGAGGAGAGCCCCCTCTACTCCATTATGGCCTCAGCTTAACTAATTCCATCTGCAAAGACGTCATTCCCAAAAAGGTCACAGTGACAGGCACTGGGGTTTAGGACTTCAACACATCTTTCGAGGGGATACCATTTAACCCATAACAGTCTGCCCTCTGGCTCCCTAAATTCATGCCCTTCCCATATGCAAAGTACATTCACATTAGCCCAATAGGCCCCCAAAGTCTTAACCAGTCCAGCATCGAAATGCCGTCAGGTCGGACTCAGATCTTGACTCCTCTCTGTGTCTGAGGCCCGCGCGGGGGACACGCTCGGGGAATGTTGGGTGGAGAATCCAGATCCAGGAGCCACTCCCGTGCCACTCTGCTCTGGTGCAAAATCCCAACAGCCGCCACCAAGCATTCTCGGGCTTGCTCAGCGCTCACTGCCCACCTCGGGGGCTGCCCTCGGGATCCCACGGGGCGCCGATCCGACGGAACCCCTGAGGCTGGAGGGAAACCCAAGACAGAGACTGGTGATCGGAATAAAATGTAATACCTGGCTTCCATCAAGATGCTTAGCACACTCTTTTGTGATTGCTTACCTAAAGCAACCCGAAAAACTGCATGAGACTGCATTTTTGTAAAACAACGTGAAACTGTTTCTACTGACTTTTTGTTTGCTCTTGTGGAGACTTCACGTCTCTCCTCCAGGACAATGTGGTCTTTTGTCTTCTCAGAGCTCATGGAGCTGTATCTTCCGGCTGGGCCTCCCCCTCTTCTCTCCCCCGATGGCTGGGCTCACTGGGGTCCTTCCCCCTGCTCGCCTGCAAGGGTGGCCCCACATCTCTTCTCCTTTATCATGTGCTGTGAATGCCAATGCAAGGCCAGGCCACTGTCTTTGGGGAACAACTGAGGGAATGGGCTGTTCAAGTGCAGGCGGCCATCTGGGAGGGTGGGAAGGGAGGGAACACAGAGAGAAGGTTCTGGAAGGAAGAGCATGTGATGCATGCAGGGCGGTTGTTGGGGAAGCCAGTGAGAAGACAGGCTGGGCGGGGTGGATGTCTATTTCTGCCTCTGCAGGATGTGCTCTCCAAAGGGGCGAAGGTCTCGGTGGAAGGAGGCAGTGCCACTGGTCTCCAGGGTGACACTCTCTTGACTCTCCAGGACTCAGTTTCCCCATCTGTGAAACGGGACGAGGAGAACCCACCGAGACGTCACACAGTTGTGGTTCATGCATTCGGTCATGTGCTGAGCCATTCCAGGGGCCGGGTGGGTATCGGACGCAGGGGCGCTGCAGGGTAGTAGGAGGGACGTAAG